GGCGACAGAGTGAAGATGTTGCGCGGTCTCGGCGCGCTTCAATTCAATTGCGACGCGAGATCACGTGTGGAGTGGGTCCCCAAACGGAGTTTCAATTGCCCGCTCCGAACCGCAATCCCCGAGAACCAGCCTTGAGGAATGAAATTCAAGATGGGATTTGGGCAGGGGATAATATGGTCTGCGAATAATTGCTAGGAATGACTCCTTTGGTCGCATCATCTCCATTCCAGCCTCGCTTGCTTCTTATTGACAAGCTTGGTTTCAACACACGATGCTAATGGAAACATGCCCCACAAACTCCAGAACTACGCTACATAAAGCGGGATTCTGAAAAAGATGAATCCCTGAAAAGGTTGCGATCAGAGGATTTATATTTAGTTTACTGGATGACAGCCAAAATTCCAGAATCCGTACGTCATCGCTTCATTATAAACGCGGTGCAGTGCCCAGTTTAGTTCCAGTTACTTTTCGACAAGACCGTCAAGGGCCTGAGTTTCAACAAACCAGCCCCAGAGAGACTGGTCAGCGCCGTATCTGAAGGCCTTCAAGAATCTTCCTTGGCAGGTCGTTATCTTCATGCCATATTGCCTTTTATCATTTCATGCAAGAGCACGAAGCGACTTCCTGAGCAGATAGGAGCACGTTTGAGTGGTCGTCAGATGCGCCTCGTCAAGACAATCACAACGGCGTAGCCCATCTGTATACATGACTCCTGTCCGACCGTCCAGGCCGTCTCGTCACAAGATTCTGACGCCCACCAGATATCTACACCCCTCCCGCCTCTTACTCTTGACGGTTCTTATGTCCTATCAGTTGTCTCTTCCGCTGGGACTGTAAAAGACGACACATCAAATGCGATGAGAAATGTAAATTGTCATCAGTGGGAGGACATGTTCGTTTTCTGCTCAACCTACTCCAGCCGTTATGTCATCCATGGTACGGAACTTGGTGAGCGGCCCGCGGGAGTGAACTGAATGCGAGCTATAGTAGAGGCGTCGGGTTCAGTAACGTGTAGCGAGGAACAGTGCAACATTACCAAATCTGCAGTGGTTTCGACGGTGAGACCTATCGCAGAGCAGCAGATCCTTCTATACACGCAGTTTCCACCAAGCTCGCTTTCCACTCCTGCGGGTCCTGTCGCAAACGCAGATGGATGCGTCGAACAAAAAGGTTCGCAGCGACGTTTGTTGGCCCAAGAAAGCTTCGCTCCACCAATGCCGTGAACCACGCCTCTTGTTCATCGTGCATTTACACTGTAAGCTTGGCCTTGTACTGCGGCAATACTAGATCGAGGCTCTCCGGGTGCTCTGACGTATGAATTCTTCCCCGCTTTCAGTGAGTTCTAGTGGTTAAGGCTTGTTCGTTTGGCATGGCGTACATCGACATCATCAGCAACCTCAACAGGCCCGGCTGTATGTTCATGTCAGCGCCTCCCAAATGCCAAAGATAGTAATATGAGAAACAGTTGGAGCTCAAGGTTTCACTTAAGAAATGTGACCGTGTCGTCGATGCCGGCGACATGCCCCGTGGATAGCTCCTCCAATCCAGCACATGAAGCCAATATAATTGATGCCGGTTGGCTTCATGATATCATGCCAGTCCAATAAACGGCGCCAACGACTAACTCATAAGTTTCTGGAACTCATGCCGTTCGAAAATATCCTAATTATTGTATAAGGTATTTGGGTCACTCAAACTGGACTGCGGCAAACGTACAGCGAGCCGGATACGTATTCAGCATCCCCCGTTTAATGTACAGTTATCGCACAGCGTCCAATTATTTTACATACAGCCGTTCTACAAAAGTTTAGCCACAAGTTCACAAAATCAGGGACCCTCATATGGCGTTTGTCAATTGCGAAATCAGACCCAGCAAGCCATCCGCGAAAAGAGGCTTGAGGCTAGGACAGGGCAGGGCAGAGGAATGCCAAAAGAAAGACCACAAAATAATAAATGAGAAGAGTCACAAGAGAGCAAATATATGTAAATACGACGCCGGAATAGCATGGAAGGTTACTGCTTGATCTATAGGAAATGTATATAGACTTGAGGACTTGAGTATAAACGTAACTTTTTACTCTTTATGAGGATACTTATTTAGGGGATAGCGATTACGATGCGGGCTAGACACGCGATCAAACAGATACTTGACTCGCCAGTGTTAGTCATGGTGAAAGGAGAAGAGGAATGAGAGGGGGAATTAGCCGGAGAACCTGAGCTATCTTCTGAAGTCGTTACATAGAACCCGCCTTCCGTGGGCTGCAGACTCTGTTTCTTAGAGGAAGACACTACAGCGCTGGCATCATCAGATACTCGTTGCCTGGTAGAAGGACTTGACGGAGGAGCCCGACCTACCCAGCGTTCGGACCGCTTGAAAGTCGGTATAGACAATGCCGTCGGTGTGGCGATAGGGACAGCAGCAGGTCTAGGTAGGTAGGCCAAGTCACGGACACGGAGGCCCAGCTGGCTAGTGTCAATGGTGTGACCAGCGACTGTGGTAGTGATACTGATATATGCTCCCGAGCGTTTTCTTAACCGATCCGATCTAAAGGTTGGCGTCCAAATCCGTGTAGTCAAGAGTGGAAAGAAGACCGTTGTAAGGAACGCGGCTGTCTTCGAAGGCAGCATTGAGGACAATGCTACCGGAGGCGTTAATGTTTACTACCTATATCACTGGCAAGAGAGTCTTTAGATACAAGACATGATTATGTTCTGAACCATGATAAAGGGGGGATGTCATCGCCGAAACAGATGATGACGGAGGAGGTGCAAGGAGAGCTGATAAGGTACTCCTCGAGCCACTTCACGTTCTTCACATCTAAGAGATTGTCCATACTATCATTAAAAGGAAGACAAGTATACAAAACAAGTCGAGCCGGCTGTCACTTAGGTTTTCGGTTACTATGAATCGAGTCCTACGTACAGACAGGCAGGAACTCATCACATCGTGAGCGTCAACTATAAGTAGCCTATATCCTTACACCCTATCCACTCCCGAACATCTTCACTCGCTTATAACAAACCAACTACCAATTTACAGACCAAGCACATCCCCATCCTCAGACAGGAGAGCGACGAAGATAGCGAACCTTGATTATATACGACCATTTACACGGGCTACTAGCTGTTGGTAAGCGATGCGATGTCTGACGCTCTAATGCTGTACAGAACCAGACTGCTAAGACATCACAAAAGTTGAATGCTGCTCCTCGGCGAGGAAAGCGAACAGTGAAGATCGCCTTTCCAGCTCAGAGCAAGTCTACATCCAGCATGTTTGAGCATATGAGCGAGGAAACCAATTCCCGTGTCAATAGTGATCTTTTACGACTTGCTAGCCTGTGAAATATAGCTATCATTATTAAGAAGACGGGAGTCAGTGTCTGGGGAGTCAGCCAGTCTTATAAGCCAGCAGAGACGACTAAAAGGAGGCACTGCGCAATTGTTGATTGCTTGCTAATAAGTCTTCTTCAACTACTTCTTGACGCTGAAAATGATGACAAACTTTCCTTGATGTGAGAAACTTGCTCCCACTCCTCGGCTGTCCTTCTTTAAAAGTGTAAGATACTTCGCAATGATCTGATCATCCTCTCCAACAGAGAAAAGTTCAGTATCCAGATAGATTGCTCGTGGCCTCTTATTCTACCTCTCATAACCTCTGTAATATGTTTCTCCATACTTGGATGTCTATATGCCGTACTTGCCTACCCTGAATATCGATCGATCGGGAAAACTACTTACTGATACGACTATCATAGAAGAAGGCAATGATGAATATCATAATAGAGGAATTGACGATGGGCAGTATATCTGGTGACGCCCCTGATAGTGATGATAAGTCCGCTCTTACCGAGTCCCAGGTATATACCTTTCTATTTCTACACACTTAGGCTGTCGCTTAAATTGCTGATTTTATAGAGTTCTTAAATGTCTAATCTGGATATTTCTCTTAATCGGCAGCTGATTCGCTGTTTGATGCAACGCTATGGTCGGTGAGCAGGTAATAACCGAGTTTCATAAACCACAGAATCCCTTCTTCTTAGCTCAACTAAGGAATATACAAGGAGCATGCAGCACCAAAGGTTTGCTCACACCATTCATCTCTCTCGTAGACTTAACCGCCTCTCTCAAAGCAAAGAAGACAGTACACCCTAAGAATGAACGGGTTTCTCCTACACATTTACTGTTCTGGAAATGGACGTGCCATCAACATAAACAGAGCAGCAGTCCAGCATTAGTGAGTGACTAATGGCAATCCAGTTACCAGCTTTATAAGTAAAGGGATAAAATATGGAGAGTACGCGCCGAGCGTCAAGGCCAAACGGAGCACAGCAGAGAATGGCGTCGCTACTCTTCTGGTCCTTCGCCTCTTCTGTACTCAATGACTCGCTCAAGCCGATTGTTTAAACGGTCTGTGTTGTATCCTTATTCGGTTGTCGACCTTGCTTGGCTAAACAACAACCTTTCCTTTGCGAGCAACAAACCCAGGTAGGGTCACTTCTTGAGGCGCGTCTCTAGTATCAACTCCTGTCCACGACGACAAATTAGCCAATTCGCTGGAACGAGAGTCTGCTACTATCGAACCTCTAGCGACTCCTGATGCAGGATCTCCGCAAGTGCCGTATTACAAGTAGGTGTATTGGGTGATTTTGGCGATGACGTGCGTAATCGCGAACGGCTGATTTGGCAAGGCAACAATCGGAAGGCTACTGTTTCCACAATGGGAATCAAATCTCGACCTGGCCGATCATGGAAGCAGTGAAGACAGCCTCTATATAACTAATACTCTTTCTACGCTAAAAAAGAGGATTTATTAATCTTCCACGGTTCAGGAGAGGGCAGGCGTATCACTGTTACGACCATTAATGGGAAGCAAACCAAAGCAACGACCGTCAGCAAAAGAACTCTAAACCCATACTGGAAAAAGATCAAGGGCAAACAAGTTGTTCCCTACACACTCTCATCCCGGGAGGCCTGCATTCATACAGCCAAAAGCCTGTCATTTATCGTAGATACATTCCAATTCTATCGGCGTCGTCAAGGATGGCTTTGGCGAAGTTGTCGGTCTGGCTCATTGTGTGAGAGGCAACCATACCCTTCTCCCAGATACTCTCTTTCTTCACTCAGGATAATTTAGCAATTCATTCCATTCACCTTTTGCTCCTTGCACATTCTTTCACACTTCAGCGACTACGAGTGTCGAAGCAGCTGTCTCTGTGCCGGTCTCGACAGTCGTTACGGAGGGCACATCCAGATCATCTGTAAGTTTGAGAGGCATACTGTCCTCTGTCCTGTAAGTGACAAGTCGCCACAAACCATCAGCGAATCCATAGGCAAGTCCCATGCTCAACTTCTTGGACTGTGCTTAAACCAGGTCGCTGTTCTCAAGCTCAGGAAGTCGATGCAAAGCCGACGTGGCCCATATCTCGGAATAATGATTCGGGGAATTGTTAGGGGCATCACAGGGCAGCTCAAAGGCCGCGATGACGGGCTACGACTGCGCCATTTTAGATGCTAACTGCGTGCCCTCTGCTGTCGAGTTCCAAGACCAGTCCACGAACGTCGTCGCTGCCTGTGATGGCGTTTACCTAGTAAACTCCTACAAGGGTAGTAAAATATCTAGCAGTATCGCACATTATGCCTATTGGTATTCTGCAACCGGATGGTCTCATAAGGATACATACATAGTGTTGAACGAACACGGCACGACGCGATATTGATGTTGATTGCGCAGTTGTCTAGGCTTGACTGGAGCTAGTTCTGAGCGCCACAGGATCTATACCACAGAGAAAAAGAAACTGAACCCTAAACGCCTGAACCGCAAACTATATAGGCCTGACTGCGATCTCTTCCCCTTATTTGCATCTCTTATCTGTTCCTTATACGAGAAGGGAGGTTGGACACACCAAGGGCGAAACAGAAGTCCTTCGCAGTAACATCAAGAGAGTCGAGAACTCCGGAGCCCGGCCTCTCATGCTCCGCCACGTCAGTTATTCGCCATAAAGCTTATAGGTTCACAAATACCGCAACTGTTCGCTTATTACACGCCTTGAGTGCGTGAAATTATTTCTCCTGTCCTTGGACCACGAGAGCTCGGAAATGCCCAGTTTCAGCTACTTCAACAGCAGTGCTAAGCTCCGTTGGGATGCGGAGCAATACGCAGACATCAAACTTATTGGGAAGCACTACGACTTTTGGTGTTGGGAATCGGCGAGCCTGATGTCAAGCCGGCCCTGAAATATAGCGGCAGTCTCGCTGGAGCCTCCATTGCGTAGTAGTACAACCTTCGGAACTGGTACACCGCGCGGCCAGGGTGTTAACCCCCCAAGTCCACGGGCAGAAGCAGTTTGCTCCCGGCGAGAAGCTTAAGTATAAAAGAGGCGCTGACATCGTCCACAGCTCTACACGAAGGGCGGTAATCGCAGCGTCTTCCGCGGCAGCGCTGAACTCTTGCTCGTGACAGTCCCGGTTCTCCGGCTACACAATAAGTATAGCAGGCATCGTCGCGAGATAGGTAAGTCACTATTTCGTACTGAATGTCAATGACTAAACTGGCACACGAGACGTCACCCACCTTGGCTAGCTGGCTTTTGATCTGAGACAGGGTTCACTCGTGGGTTATTTTCGCTAGGCAGTTGGGTTACTTGCGCCATCCTTCTCCTTCATCCTCCACTTCACTCCATTATTACCCCAGATTCTACATCTTTGAGGTGAACGAAATGACCGGGTACGAAGTATCATAAGGTCTACTTGGCGCTGGGAATAATCGGGGGTTGCCCGGCTCTTCATATAATATACTATCACCAGCAGAACGACTTTTAATGGCCATGTTAGAATGCATGACTCATCAGAGGGTCCAGGAACCTGCAGACAAGACACTCCGTTGATCTATTTTCGGAAGCATGCTGTGAGCAGTTTATATGTCCATACTTCGAACTAACGCGAACCAGGGGCTTGGCCACAAAACTCTTTACCACTGCTTATTATTTCAAAGGAGCGGGCGATATGTAATATAACTAGAGCTTACTTTAAGGTGGCGTAGACTGATGTTTTGACAGCGAAATAGCGGTCCGCTGAAAGGTCAGGAGTCTTGTCGCTATGAGGTGGCACGAACCCGATGATAGTCACTATCGGACACTACTGTTCTGGCAGGTGTTGTCGATAATCGCTAAAGTCAGACATGTCTCTAGAGTGTCTATGAAAATTCATTTGGATCAAGATTTAGTACCCAGACAAGACGGGACATGCTTTATCAGGCTGAGAGCTTGGACACTGGTTTCAAACAGCCCGTCAGTAGATAAGGTGGTAGAGAAGCGACTATTAGACATAGAAGAAGCCGCCTGTTTCATAGTGGCCCCTTTCTTCTCGTGTGGGATAAGCACGTATGCGAGTAACAGGTTCTCTCTGCCGGAATAANNCAAGTCTCAACTGCAAATAACTGCGAGTACGAATGGGCTCTACGTTGACGTTGGGACTGTAGAAGCTGCTCTCTTCAAAGATGTTGGCATTAGTATGTATTTCCACAAGTTTAGAAGCGTTTTCTACACTTAGGTCATCCGTGAGGGCGTCGACGAAGTCAAACAGGCGAATGCTATTCGAGGGGGTCAATGGAAGAGACACACTGAACGGAAGTTGAAAAGATAATACTTGGATCTATACCTCATCTCGCGGGAGGTGCGGGACGGCTTGCTAAAGGAGAGGGGTTCCAATATGTTTGATCAGGGAACTTTGATCTGGTATTTAGAGTATGTGACAAATGTTATGTTGGGGGAGTAAACATGAACCTTGTTCTCACGGTCAAGCCCGGGATTGGTGAGTGTGACATAACGTCGATCTGCAGAGCGACAGTCGACATCACTGCCTTTCCCAATTAAGAGGGTTCTGTGGTAATAATTTAAAATGGGAAAGACTCTGAAAGCGTTATTGGGCGAGGTTTTAGGGAGAATTTGAGTTTGAGTGCGGACACGTCCTCCTGTAGTCAAGCTAGAGAGAGATATGGATAGTTTGGGTGTCCGGAACGGAGCAATGATTTAGGTAAATATGTGGCCATTACCCTGGGGGTTACGTGGCCTACAATCTAGCGTTCTGATATAAGTATGGTGACAAGAAAGGCAGTGAAGATAGCCTATTATGAAAAACTGATAGCCGGTCTGTTCTGTTCTGTCCCCTGAATGCGCAGAATCGCGAGAACGTGACACTTGCCGGCTTGGGCATCCACAGTCTGCAGATATCTTCGAGGCAATACAAATCCAGTATGAGCACCCTTGTGACCAGAGAATCTCGGAACATGGAGGGATGATAAATAGTCCGGCCCCAGCAAATCTAGGCATTCGGAAGTCAACTAACATTCTCAAGTCGTTGAACAGGGAGGCCGGCCAGGAAAGTGATGATATAAGCTTACAGCGACGTTATAATCTTCATCAGATGTTGAGGACCGTGTCACCAGGTCGAAGGCAGATCGTTGGCGGCGCCAAAGATGCAGTAGGGAGCGGGTCTCAAGAGCAGTCGAGGAGAAGCTGATTATGCTAATATTGTGTTACCGCTTCATTATCAAGGACAGCGTCACAGATGGACACAGACAAGACTCGACCTACCCGAGACACGTGAAGGGACATATCGCGGTATTCCCAAACAAGGTGCAGGAGCTAGCCACGAATATCCTCCCACATCCGTTCTCGAAGGTCACGTATGATATCTATATATGATGGTAGGAGCAGGAGAAACTTGCGCCGAGTGACATGTTAACGTTAGTGTCCGTGTAGCGTAACGCTGCTAAGAAGGCATTGCTGTGGCTCTAAAGGTATAATCCGTTATAAACTGACATCAAAATTGACGTGCCGAAATTAGATAGTTGGGGCGGGATGCGCCGTCAGACGGAGTGCCGTCCCAAGTTTTTGATCGACCGGAACGTAATAAGCCTTCGGCGAGGGCGAAGATGCAGCCGACGCATATTGTCCCACTCACAGAGCGCGATATCGACGGTCATGAACCAATAGATATCTAATATAAGAGGTAATGACATCGTTGGCCGAGGGCCTAAGCACCATAGGAGCACCAGAAGAACCATTGGTGGCTTGGCCTCTGGTCAAGATGGTGACGATGAGGTCTGTAAAACCAGAGATCGAGTCAACAAAACAGATTCATCCTGCATGTTCAAGTTCGACGGGCGCCCAGATGTGCAGAAGCTACAGTACCTCGTCAAGTCCATGGGTAAGGTGAAGCCCGGAGAGGATACGAACGGAAGTACCTGGAAAGAGTCAGCAAAGGTGAGACGCTGGGGCGTTGTCAAGCGTAACATTGTAGTTTCCTGTGATGAAGCCTTTGCAGATTCCTTTGACACTTGGTTTCTAGCCAAAACGTCTCCCAGCTTGTTCCCGCTGGGCAAAGGCGGCCCCCGGCAGTCTAAAGAGTACTCCAAGGATGCGAAAGGGATAGTGCGTTGCATTTTCGAGCTGAAAGCCGCTTGAGCTTGGAGGCTTGGATGACAATAGTGAGTGATCCAGCGACACTCCCGTCGCTCTGCAACGCATCCTATCTTCCATTTTCTCGTTTTAATCATGGCGCTGCTGTCGAGAAACCGCTGCGTGAGCATGGCAAGCATGCGAAAGACTGATTCCTCAGGCGTAGAACGTACTGTCCAAGACTTGACCGCGTCAAGACTCAAGAAGGCAAGGGGAGAGCTAGATGCTTGCGGTCAAACGGCCAATCCAGACGTCAAGCAGCTAATAAGGTATCTGCCACTTACAGAAACCACCAACAAATGTCAAAGGAGAGCCGGCTGACGATGTGGCGGAATATGAAGTCCCTGATCAGTCAGTAAGGCATCCTTACTATTTAGTTCACGCTCAACCCAAACGATACACGAACCCGAGAAAGCTGCAGTTAGCTCCATACCGTACCCTGAGATAGGCACAGCCGAGGAATCTTGGAAGAAGCCTTGATCTAGCGTACAAGGAGGCTCAACTCGCGACATCAAATCCCCTCAGCTTGGCAATCTTCTTCCATCGGGAGATTTCCATATTCTTCAATTCCTCGATCGGGAGACGCGGAATGAGGCAGAACCCCTGCTGATTCGGGGCAACTTGGATGCCAGTGTAGAAGACTTACTTTGACGAAGACGGCCAGTTGCGGCTTCGACGTAGCTACAGGCTGGTGAGCAATGGCAGTGGACCCTTCATTGTAACAGAATGTAAGGGTCTGGCTCTCGTTTACTACGTGACCAGCTACACCACAAGGTTGAGCATCCGTTGTGGAAGCGTATAGTAGCAGCTAAAGAACTAATTCGGCTCATAGGTAAGAATAGTACAGGGGATCAGCCGAGCAACTGGCGAGGTCGAACCGAGG